TTTTTATATATTTTATGTGATGCAATGTGGTGCAATGAATGCAACGCAATTGTTGTGGCAGTTTTTTGTGTAAGTGATCCCACACCTGAAATATTTAGGAAACACGGCAACATCCACCTGGTTTTGATTATCTTGATTTGTTTGCTGTGTTTTAGATTTTTGCATTTAATTCTACCATTGTATGCTGCTTGAATGATAGTACAGTCATCCTCAACTTACAACCATTCATTTAGTGACCATTCGAAGTTACAGGGGCACTGAAAAAAGTGACTTATGACCATGTTGCAGCCTTCCCATGGTCACGTGGTCAAAATTTGGATGCTTTGCAATTGGTTCATATTTATGACAGTTGCAGTGTCCCTGGGTTCATCTGATCCCCTTTTGTGATCTCCTGACAAAATAAAATCAATGCAAAAACCAGATTCATTTAACAACCATGTTACTAACTTAACAATTGCAGTGATTCACCTGTGGCAAGAAAGGTCATAAAATGGAGCAAAACTCACTTAAGAACTGTCATGCCCCTGTTGGAATCTGATTCCGAGGGGGAGGTCGAATAACTGACAGGGAATGGGAGTGTGGCTCCGGTGGCTGTGGAGGAAACTGGGGAAGGGCATAGTCCGGCTGGGCATTCAGAAGAAGACCCAGGCCCACCCCCTCTTCATTCCAGGGCATGCAGGGAGGAACGGATAAGGGAGCAACATGGGTTATGGGGGAGAAAAAGGCCCTGATTCCCTTCATTAGCTGCAGGTGGGAAAACAGGATATACAGGATGTTTGCGCATAGCACCTTGCTTGGAAGCAAAGCGTGCATTATCTTTGTTTGTCAAGTCTTATCTGGGTTCTGGCATCTTCCCAACTGTGTGTGTTTCGTTATCTTTGAAGTCTGCAATTCCTTATCCTGCCCTGTCTCGCTAATTGCTGCAACGTGGTGGTTTTTATTTATAATTTATATGTACTTTGGGGTCGGACTGAATTTCTTCCCTTTAAAAACTGTTTTTGGGAGAGTTTTCTCACCAACTGATAATAACTGGACATTGGGGGCCAAGTTGGAGGAATTAAAGGGACCTTACCTACTTTTGTGACTTTGTTGCTTTTGTGCCATGCCACGGTCATCAGAAGAACTCTCTCACTTAGCAACAGAATTCTGGGCTCAATTGCGGTCATAAATTGAGGACTATCTGTATAAGTAGAAACATGGGATATTCATTAAATAACAAGAGCAGCTTAATAGCTCATAGCCTTCCCTTCTCAGTTTCATCTTCCTGTTTAGAGAATCCTTTGGCACTTAAGGCTGAAATTCCTCCTTTAAAAAATTGCTGCCTTCTGTAATTACACATAATCCTTCTGGTTACATTGTCTTCTGTTCCCTTTTATTGCATTTTGTAATATTTATGTTGTAATTGCTTTAGAACTGATTTATTGCTGGCTTTTCTTGTTGCCATTTCCCTTATGTAACGATGTTTTTCTTGGGATGGATGTACAGCACCGTTTTTACAAGCTGGCTGAGAATTGGAGGTTGGAAGCTTAAGTCAGGGCAGGTCTGGCTAGAATTCAGATGGGGGCTAGACAGGTGGTCCTCGACTTACAACAGCTTGTTTAGTGACTATTCAAAGTTACAACGGCACTGAAAAAAGTGACTGACGATCATTTTTCACGGTTACCATCTTTGTAGTGTTGGAAGAAATGTCCTTCTGGGTTCAGTTCCAAGTGGGGGAAAAGGCACTGGAAACACGGAGGCTGTTTGGAAAGATGGTTTAATGGTGGACAGGACCACATGGCTTGGAGCTCCAAAGTGAAAAGGACGATCCCATGCTTCAAGGGGAAGGAAAAGATGGAGGAGGAGGAAGAGGGCTGAAAGTACCTGGGTTTTATACCCTCTGTTGAGATTTGAATTTGAGCATGTGTTCTGATTGGTTGTCAGACTCCCATGTCTTACCAGTTAATGAATATTTCAGCTTTAACCACCACAACACAAGAGCACACAACAGATATAAACTAAATGGAAACCACTCCAAACTCGATTGCAGAAAGTACGTTTTCAGCAACAGAGTGGGCAATGCCTGGAACGCACTACCTGATTCTGTTGTCACCTGCTCAAACCCCCACTCCTTTAACCTCAAACTAACTTCTATTGACCTCACCCCATTCCTAGGAGGTCTGTAAGGGGCGTGCATAAGTGCACAATCGGTGCCTACCATCCCTGTCCTATTGTCCCCAATTATTACTTCCTATTTCTTGTATTTAAACTTACGTTTATTCTTGTTTCTGTTGTATTGTAAGCTTTTGACAAATAATAATGATGATGATGATGGTGGTGGTGGTGGTGGTGGTGGTGGGGCCATGCAGGGGTAACTATGTAGGCTGTCCTGAGTGCCAGGCTTGGTTGAGCCTTGCTGGAGGATAATGCATTGAAAAGGGCTTTTGGCAATTGCTATAGCTTTACCTGGAGATCTTTGTTATGTAAAGTATTCTGGCCCAGGACTTAACGGCCCACCCATTAACAAAGGTGGGGGTGAGTTTCTACTTCTGAGGTGAGTTTCTGCTTCTGAGTTTCTACTCTTTTTAGGGGAAATATTCTGCCTTTTTAATATTTCCTAGGATATTTCATTTTTCTAGGAGAGGGGTGGGTGCTAACTTCCTACAATGTGTGGGGAACTAAACAAACATTGAAAACAAGCCATGGCAATCCACATTTGTACCATTGTGAGGAGAACCTACATGGATGCGTCCATAAAGTTACCAGGAATCAAGATTGCCCCGAGGAAGATTTTACATGGCCTATCAGAAACTTTACCTCTTTTTCAGGGAAGGAACTATGGGAGGTAAAGCATTTCAGATGAATAAATATTGGTGTCATCATCCTAAATAGCTGGGTTGAACTTTTACTCAAGCTTCAAAGTTTTGTGATAGAGAGTTGCCAACAACATCTTAAGAAATAACGATTTTTGTTGTGGACTTTAACAAAATGTACTTGAGGGGCTGCCATAAAGAAGAGGGGGTCAAATTATCCTCCAAAGCACCAGAGGGCAGGACAAGAAATAATGGTTGGAAACTGATCAAGGAGAGAAGCAATCTGGAATTAAGGAGAAATTTCCTAATAGTGAGGACAATTAACCAGGGGAACAGCTGGCCTCTACAAGTTGTGAGTGCACCATCACTGGAGGTTTTAAAGAAGAGACTGGACAGCCACTTGTCTGAAATGATATATGTTCTCCTGCTTGAGCAAGGGGCTGGACTAAAAGACCTCTAAAGTCCCTTTCAGCTCAGTCATTCTATTTTAACCGTGCAGTACAAGCATAGTTCTCTGAGCATTAGCTGCCAAATCAATCAATCAGTCAATCGATCAACTAATATTTATTGATTTAGAAATAATTTATACTGCTGCCTACTTGCACACAGCGACTCAAGGTGGCTTACAAGGACATTAAAAGCACAATATAAAAGAAATAATAAATAATAAAATAATAGCGCCCCCCTCTGACAACAACACACACATTCATACCAGCTGTTTAATGGGCTCCATCTGTCATGGATTCTCCAGGCCCACTGGCAGAACCACGTCTTCAGGACTTCCCGAAAGAGTGTTAGAGTGGGGGCCAGTCCAATTTCTGAAGGGATGATCTTCCAGAGGGAGGGAGCCACCATGGAGAAGCCCTTCTTCTGGGCCCCACCAGATGCAGGGGTGGTCTGCTGGGGGCTCGCAGGGGCTCGGGAGAGTCCTAGCTAAGACTCTCTGGGGCTCAGAGAGCCCCCAAAAACAAGCAGCGAGGGAAAGCTCTTAATAGGCTTAATTAAACTTTTGGGCGTTCAGTCAAGAGCATTTCACACTTCATAAAAGTGTTTCAGGCTAGATAAACAATCCACTCAGCACCATTGAGAACAATCAGATAACATAGCCACTAGTCTCCATGGGGATTAATTCCCAAATAATAAGAATCACGTAACTCACCAGAAACTCCACTAAGACTCCAAGATCCTCCTCAACAGTCACTGCTAGTAAGCCTGGTTTCACCCAGTCTTTTATTTAAGTATTAAATGCATGAAATAATAAACAACTTTTGGGTGTATATCTTCTTTTAGGGAATTAGGACAAAGAAGCGACATCCAGTCACATGACCACCCCGCCATGCCCACCCAGCCAGTCATTAGGGCAGAGAGCCCCTTGCTAAAAAGTTTGAAGCCCACCCCTGGCCAGATGTGTCTCCTTAGGTGATGGGACCCGCAACATGCCTTGGCTCCCCGCTCTAGTGGGACGGTTAGATGTGACCGGCAAGAGACGGTCCCTTAGGAGTTCCCTGACCTTGGACTTTGGGCATAGTATTTGCAGTGCTGGGATGGACAATCAAATAGGTATAGTTGCAATAAAACCACAGTATATATCACTAGGAAAACTTCGATAGACTCAATTATGTAGAGGTAGCCCTTGACTTTACAACTATAGTGGAGACCAGAATTTCCATTGCTACTCAAGATGGTTGTAATAATGTGAGTTGTGCCCAATTTTACAACCTCCTTCTCCACGGGTTGTTAAATGATATCACTGTAACTGTTAAGCGAAACATGCAGTTGTTAAGTGAATCTGGCTTCCCCATTGATTTTTGCTCGTTGGAAGCTGGATGGAAAGATTGCAAATGGGCCTCGCAAGATCGCAGGACGCTGTGTTGCCACGCCCCTAAACTTTGATCCCATGACCCTGGGGATGCTGCGATGGCAGTTAAGTGCGGAAAACCGGTCCTAGTTCACTTTTTCAGGGCTATTGTAACTTCAAATGGTCACTAAACGAATGGTCGTATGTTGAGGATGATACTTGCCTGCCCAGAAAGCTGTCGACATTTTTCAGATCATGAATTGGTTCCAGGATCTTCATATCCACTGGTTTTCATATCTACTGATTAAAATTTTGAGTATTAAAAAATGTAAAACTTTCTATAAGATATGTTTGGAGTGGTCATTTCATGCTGACATTCATTTCTTGCGTTTTTCTCTCTCTCTCCCCAGTCTGCAGAATTCTTTGAAATGCTCGAGAAAATGCAGGTAAGTGAAACAGTGTTTGTCTTCTAACTCAGTCGTCCCCAACCTTTCTAGTTTGGTGGTGGTGGTGGCGGTGTGTGTGTGGAGTGCAGGCACACACACCCGTGCACAGCTCCACTTGTGGGAGCAGCCTTGCATGAATGTGCAAGCAGAGGGTGTTTGCACTTATGCACGAAGCTTCACATTTGCCAGCAGAGGTCTCTTGATGAGAGGGTGCTTCATGTGAATGGAACTTTGCACGCGTGCGTGCATGCTTGCCCATCGCTCATGCGACTGGAGCTTCGTGCATGTATGCTTGTCCGTCTCTCCCATGGCCCGGTTTCGAACAGGCCACGGTTCAGTAGTGGGCCACACAGCCTGGGGTATGGGGACCTCTGTTCTAACTAGCTTCTTATTCTTTCACTGGGAAAGGGGAATTAGATATTTTGGAGAGTTGAGGCGATCAACATATGCTTTTCTTGAGGCCTGATCACTGCCTTAAAAACAGCATGCCTTAAATATCCACTCTTGGTTTGGTCACGTGACAGCAGAGGAAAGCAAGCCCTCAGCTTCACTGTATCCGTGGCACGTCATATTTCTCTCTCCCTCCACCCTCTCATTCCAACACCATTCAGTGATTGCCTCAAGGCGTGTCAAATGTGTTAAGCTTTGACACCTGGAGAAAATAGCAAATAAGTGTTGTTTGGAGTTTTGCTTTAATAATTTCTTGTGCTTCTGCAAGACTTAAGATGGCGTGAGGTCAGGCTGTCTAAAGGGCTGTCTTTCCCCAGTTTTGTTTATCTGACAAAAAGCACAGCGGCTCACATAGTTGGGAATGCTGATTAGGAGGTTAGCAAGCCCACGTTTGAGACCCACGTGCTGGCGTGGGGCAGGGTTGAACTCCCGTCCTTTGCTCTAGCTCCTGCTAGGGGCATGAAAGACGCCCCCAAATGGGTGTCCCCAGAGCAACGGTGATGTCACTGGCTAATCATTTCAACCCAGAAGCACCTTAGTGCGTCTGACACGAGTGCTGTGCTATGCTATCTACCTGGCCTACCAGGGTGGGGAAGCAGGATATGTTATGGGTTTCTTCTCTTAATTCCATATAGTGGGACCCAGAAGAAAGGCCTTCTCTGTGGTGGTTCCCTCTCTGTGGAACATCATCCCTGTGGAAATAAGAATAGCGCCCCCACCCGGACACTCTTTGGAAAAGTCCTGAAGATATGGTTTTGCCAATGGGCTTGGGGACACCGGGATGATACAGGGCCTATCAAGTGGTTGATTTGATTGTTGTTGCTAAGGGAGGAGAGATTTACTGGGTTTTGGTTTGGGGTTTTATTTCTTTAAGTTGCCTGGAATCACCAGGAGTGTCCTGGGAGGCCATATAAACTTTCTCAATAAATAAATGAGATAATCATTCAGCCTCTTAAGCCCCTTTCCCCTGAGAAACTCCCAATTTTGTGGCCCTGCAACCTCTTCAAAGGAATTTCTGAAGGAACCCCAGAGATCTAAACAAGTGCGCCACGTTAAGAGAGGCAGCGATTGTATATGGTCTATTGTGTCGTTTGTGATTAAAATGAAAAAGATGGCTGTTTCCATTCCTTGAGGATATTCTTAGCACTAAATAAAACTAGAAAGGAGAGTGCTGTCACCGACTAAAGATTCAAAACATTTGAAAACCAGTGACTTTTAACTTTCCTTCCCCTGAATTGTTTCATATTGTTAAGTATTTGCTTTGGTTTGTATTCACAGGACTGGTTCTAAATGCATTGAAAAAGTTTCTGGGGTTATTTTCTGAATGCCTTAGATTAAATGAAAATTGTTATACCATTCTCATGGGGCGAGATAGTCTTGAAAGTTGAAATGCTGTTAAATAGACAAGCAAATAAATCTTCCTCATTAAACCAGCATTTTCACAACCTTGTCTACTGGAAGATGTGTGGACTTCATTTCCCAGAATTCCCCAGCCAGCATGGGGAATATGGCTGGCTGGGGAATTCTGGGAATTGAAGTCCACACATCTTCCAATGGAAAAGGTTGTGAAAACACTGCATTAGATCCTTTCCAACGAGTAACATGAATAAACTTCAGCATAAAAACATAATAAAGAAATAAAATAATTTTTCAGCAACTTCTTCTTTGCTCACATAGCAATAGCACTTAGACATATACTGCTTTATAGAGCTTTAGAGCAAGGGTCGCCAACCTTTGGACCTCAGGGACCACCAAACTTATAATTTTAAATGCCAGGGACCACTAATCAGTTCTGTGGGCATGGCCTAATTTGTGGGTGTGGCTTGGTGGTCATGTGACTGGCTGGGCATGGCTTGTATGTAAATATTATAAATATTTATATAAATATTGAATTTTTTATAAAAAAGAGCAACTTTTACCCAAAATCAGGCAAAGCAGGCAGGCAGATTGAGTTGCTCACAGAATCACAGATTCATTCAGAGATCTATCTATCTGCCATTGGCTAGCTCAGTCTGTCACATAAAATTTGCTTGCAATCAAACTCACAAAATTAACTAACAACACACCATGCATGAAAATATTGATTTTTTTTTATAAAAAAGAGCAACTTTTACCCAAAATCAGGAAAAGCAGGTAGATTGAGTTGCTCACCATTCAGTGATCTGTCTGCCATCGGCTAGCTCAGTCTCTCAAATTTGCTTGCCATGAGTCTGCACTGAATTTGCTTGCAAGCAAACCTTCAGTCCTAAGGGAGGTTTGGCTGTGCTGAGCCGAAGATCTAAAGACTAGCTAGAAAGCAAGAAATCCAACCATTTCCTGCTTCCTAGCTAAACTAAATCTCCCAGCACAGCAGAAGAGATGATAGTCGGAAAAAGGAAAAATAGCAATTTAGCAGGCAAGTTTGCAGGGTAAGGAGTGAGTGGGCGGGGAGGGTTCCCGCGGGCCATGTGGGCGGCACAGCCTTATGTTTCTACACAGCCTGGATTAATTGCTTTGTGGGGGTGCTCTGGGGGTGAGATTTCTCTGCGGCCCACCAAAATTTTCTCACAGCCCACCAGTGGGCCGTGGCCCACCAGTTGGTGACCGCTGCTTTAGAGCCCACTCCAAGTGGTTTACAGAATCAGCATATTGCCCCCAACAATTTGGGTTCTCATTTTACCCACTTTGGAAGGATGGGAGGCTGAGTCAACCTTGAGACTGGTGAGATTTGAACTGCCAAATTGCAGGCAGCCGGCAGTCAGCAGAAGTAGCCTGCGGTACTGCGCTCTAACCACTGCGCCACCGAGGCTCTTTGGTGAGAATTTCTACACATGAAATCTAAGCAGATACATTGTAGGTATTCTGAGGTTTTTATTTTTATTTTTAACTGAGGTCTTTAACTACTTTTTCTTCATCCAAAACAGGGTCCAAAATCAGAAGAACAGAAGGGTGGAGGCCAGAAAAACAAGGTGAGAGTCAATGCAAGGCTCTTTTAACTAGCCCACAATCTTTCTGGAGTGAGGAAAAAATGCAGGGAAAAGTACAGGACTGCAGTCGGTATCCTAGGATTCCAATTTCCCCCTATTTTCTATGAGTAAATCAATATTATTCCAGACCCTATGATTCATTCTTTGGTCAGGGAATTTTCTTTCTTTTATTTTTATGGATAACTAGTCCGAAAATTGTCATATCTCAGGGGATTTCAGGTCAAAACACCAAGCTCTTTTGACATTTTTATATCTTGTAAGCTTTCAATGTAACAAATGTTGGCATTCAACAAATGCTGGATTACATTGGGAGATGGAACAATTCCCATCACCACATGTGATGCTGTGTTTATATTTATATTTAATATAAAGCTAACAACAAAATATAAACCAGAAAGATGATTAGGGGACTGGAGGCTAAAACATACAAACAACAGTTGCTGGAATTGGGTATGTCTAGTTTAATGAAAGAAGGACTAGGGGTTAAATGATAACAGTCTTCCAATATCTCAGGGGCTGCCACAAAGAAGAGGGAGTCCATCTATTATTTAAAGCACCTGAGGGCAGGACAAGAAGCAATGGGGGGAAACTGATCAAGGAGAGAAGCAACCTAGAATTAAGGAGAAATTTCCTGACAGTTGGAACAATAAATCAGTGGAAGAAGTAAATGCTCCAACACTGGATGTTTTTAAGAAGATATTAGATGACCGTTTGTCTGAAATGGCGTAGGGTTTCCTGCCTAAGCAGGGGGTTGGACTAGAAGACCTCCAAGGTCCCTTCTAACTCAGTTATTCTATTCTATTATTTATATTCAGTATATCACATCTTTATTATTTTTACAAATAACTGAAGGCTGTGAACATATCCAACACACCTTCCTCCTCGCATTTTCCCCACAACAACCACCCTGTCAAGTGAGTTGGGCTGAGAGAGAATGATTAGCCCAAGGGCACCCAGCTGGCTTTCATGGCTAAAGCGGGACTTGAACTCACAGTCTCTTGCTTTCTTGCCTGATGCCTAAAAGACTTCCTCTGTCAAGCCATCTTCCTGTAATGAATACTGTTCAAACAGGTTGCCTATTAATTTCTCGATCTTACTTGCTCAAGAAATGTGTTTCCATTTAAAGATATCGGAAAGATCTGTCAAAGGATAGTCATTAGTTACCTGTCCAGTAGAATCCTTGTAGATGAAGTCAGTGGTGTTCTAATAGCAGACCTCAAACTTTATAAGATTACATAATATAATAGTATAAAGTTCCTCAACCGTTTGTTTAGCAACTGTTCAAAATTACCATGGTACTGAAGAAAAAACGACTGATTGCCAGTCCTCTCACTTATGACTGCAGCATCCTTACAGTCTCGTAATCAAAATTTGTATGCTTAGCACCAGATGTGTTTATGATGGTTGCAGTGTCCTGGGGTCATGTGATTTGAGACCTTGCAGCAGGCTTCCAACAAACAGAGTCAATGTGGGAAGCCAGATTCACTAAACACCTGTTTCACTTAACAATAGCAATGATTTGCTTAATAACCAGAGAGGGGAGAGAGAGAGAGAGAGAGACAGAGAAGGAGAGAAGACACAGAGAGAGAGAGAGACAGAGGAGAGCGACATAGAGAAGGAGAGAGAGAGAGAGACAGAGACAAGGAAGGGAGAAAGAGAGACAGGAGAGACAGACACAGTAGGAGAGAGAGAGAGAGACATGAGAGAGAGACGAGAGAGAGAGAGAGAGAGAGGAGACAAAGAGACAGAGGAGAGAGACACAGAGAGAGAGAGAGAGACAGGAGAGAGAGAGAGAGAGAGAGGCAGAGGAGGAGAGAGTGAGACAGACAGAGCAGAGGGAGAGAGAGGAGAGAGAGAGAGAGAGAGAGACAGACAGACAGACAGACAGACAGAAGGAACAGAAGCAATTGAGCAAAAAGACAAAGTGGAAGGAAGGAAGGAAGCTATCAGGCATGTCCCAATTTCACTTTTAAAGAAATTGAATCTTTCAAAAGCAATATCATATTATATTTCCAAAAGAAACAAAGCTGCTTTCATTACCTTAAATGGTGTTTGAAATAGAACCGAGGGTGACATTTTCTTGTGTGTGTTTGTTTTTATTATTTTCCAGGAGGACTATATCCCCTATCCCAGCATTGATGAGGTATGTACTCGAGGGGAAAAAGAAAAAAGCTATTAGAAAGATTACTAAAAAAGAAAGTCACTGAAAAGTTTAAGTGGGGATCCAAAATCTTAAAGTAACCACCTTGGAATTGAAAAGTCGCACCTTTTCTATGCATGCTGCTTTTCTAGTGCAACAAAAGGAAGGGGCTACAGCCATACATTTGGGGCTGCTCTTGGCTTTTTTTGAATCCCACCCCTCCCCCAGCTCAAGATGCTTCTGATACTCTGCCAGAATATGTATAACTTGGTTTTGAATAAATTGGAAGACACTGTTGGAAGGAAGATCCATCTGGCTTTGTTCCAAGCTGAGAGAAAGACATGTTGAGACTCTAGAAAAAGTACAGAGAAGAGCAACCAGGATGATTAGGAGACTAACACATATGAAGAACGGTTACAGGAACTGGGCATGGCTAGTCTATTGAAGAGAAGGACCAGGGGAGATGATAGCAGTCTAGTCTAGTGAAGAGTATGACCAGGGGAGACATGATAGCAGTCTTCCAATATTTGAGGGGCTGCCACAGAGAGGAAGGAGTCAAGCTATTTTCCAAAGTACCCAAAGGCCAGACAAGGAACAATGGGTGGAAACTGAACAAGGAGAGATTTAACTTGGAAATAAGTGGGAGCAATCAACCAGTGGAACAGGTTGCCTTCAGAAGTTGTGGCAGTTTCATCACTGGAGGCTTTCAAAAAGAGATTGGACTGCCATTTGTCAGAAATGGTGTAGGGTCTGCTGGGTAGGGGGTTGGACTAGATGACCTACAAGGTCCCTTCCAACTCTGTTAATATGTTAATCTGTTAAAATACAACCACTAGAACAGCCCAGTGCAGAGAGAGGGAAGGAGGGAGGGAGGGAAGGAGAGAGAGAGAGAGAGTTAGTTTGTTCGTTCCCTGATCATGGGCTCCAGCACGAGTCCAAAAGCTTAAAAAAATGAATCTTTGGTCCCAGTGACCGACTCAGATTATATTCTAAGGCAACTATTCTTTAACACCACACCCTCTAAATGAGTTTCAATATGTTCTCACTGTGACTTCCTATAATTGGAGAGGTACAAGCAAAAAATATGTGGTTGGCACCAGGTTGAGGATATCCAGAATAAATATCTGTGCTGTCTGCACATAAAACAAGCAGGTTTTTTTTTAAATTGTTTGTTTGTTTGGTTTTTACTTTACAGGTATATATGGAAAAGCTTTTGGGTTTTTTTAAAATAAATTTACTGCATTCATTGCTGAAATTACATAATTTAACAATTTCCTAGACCTTTTAAATTTTGCAGCAATGTTTTTGCCAAATTTACGTTAGTCATACCAAAAAGTGCAGTGATTCCTTGTTACAAACTCTGTTTGGTTACAAAATACTGATGAGTTCATACAGTGGGTTACTGTTCAAACACCAAGTCTACATCTCTGGGTGCAAGGAACTATTCATAAGTTTACACCATTAAGTGGTACATTGAATGCCAATATGTGTTATTTTTTTAACCCGACAAGGAGGATATAAATCATTTTAAAGAATTCTTACTTGCTACTCTGAGATATTTTTTTTTTAAAAAAAGGTTTAGATCCAAAGTATTGTTCTGATGTGGAAATTGCTTTATACATTACTTCAAGCATAAAATTAAGATGAATTAAATCCTCTTTGCTAGAAATGATCAGGAACATCATCAAATTTGATCAGTACAAGAATTAGCATAGTGACGTTATCTAACCGTACAGGTGAAATTAGACAATCGGTAGAAATAATGAAATTGGTTCAAAGCAGCCTTTCTGAGCCAGATGTTTTGAGACTACTGTTCTTAAAATAAGCAGCTGATTTCCCCATTTGGGGAATTTCTGCCCAACCACATCTGGTGGATGTCATCCCAGAGAAGGATTGTGTACTTCATTTTTTTATATTGAAGGAGATCTATAAATTAATAATATTATAAATTATAATATTATAATAATATTATAAATTAATAATATTAATAAATTAATTAATAATAATAATTAAAAAAAACAGTTTTAATCATCCACCCAGAGACTGGAAACAGATGAACTCTGGAGATTTATATCTAGTTCTGCCTTTTCTCCATGCTTGACTCCACACTCCGAAGTCTTTTGTTAGATTCTTTGATTCACGTTTTGAGAATGTGATTGCAACATGGGGTTGGGTAACATTTGAGTGATCACTTTTTGTTCTACCAAGTGGGGTTGGGAATATAAAAAGTATGAGGTAGAATTTTAATGTGACACCCATGAGATGGGGTGGGAATTGAACATCTGCACCACCACAAGGCCTGGAAATGCAGTTGAACCTTTTCTTCTGGGTCCATAATTACACACAAGCCTGAGAATCGAATCTGCCTTGAAATATTTACTGGAGTTTTTCTCAACCTTGGCAAATTTTCATTGCTATATTTTCTCGTTATATTCGATAAGTACTTTGTGAACAGCATTCTGTCTGAGTCAATTTGCTTACATAACAATATTAAACTCCTAGGTTTTACCTCTATTATCCAACCATTGATAAAACAAGTCCCAAGATCGAAAATATTCTGTGTCTTCTTTATCTTCTGTCTTCAGTATTAGTCTATCCATTTCTGCACAGTCTAACTAAAAAAAAAAAACATCTTCTATGGGTGTTTCCTCGTTTTTCCAGTGTTGTGCAAATACAGTTCTTGTTGCTGTCAAAACATGTCACCTTGGCAAGTTTCAGATAGGTGGACTTCAACTCGCAGAATTCCCCAGCCAGCTGGGGAACTCTGGGAGTTGAGGTCCACACAGTTGAAAGTTGCCAAGGTTGAGAAACACTGATTTATGGAATCAACATTGACATCTAGTTCAGTGGCCTTATGCTTCAGACGAGGCAGCCCTGACAAGCCGAGCACATCGTTCTAAAGTGGCACCTGATAACCATTCCTTCCTCCCCTCCAAACAGATTTTAGAAAAAGGGAGTCCCTACCCCTTAATTATCTTGCCTCAATTTGGGGGCTACTGGATCGAAGACCCCGAGAACCTCAGCACCCCCACTTCATCTGAAAGCAGCATCTGTGATGAAGAGGAGGAACCGCTCAGCCCCAGCACTTACGGCTACAAACTGGAGTGCAAAGGTGAAGCCAAGGCATATCGGAAACATTTCTTAGGAAAGGTTAGTGGGAAAGGAGGCGTGTGCTCCATTACACACATGCTTACGCAGAGCTTAAAGGGGTCGAGCAAACTTCTCCGGCATTTGCATGTCAAGGAATGGTTGCATCTATCATTTGGGGATGGTTGCAAAGGAGTTGCATTTATAATTCTGCAAATGTAACGTTCTAGATAAGGGGGCAACTCAAACAGCAAAGCACAAAACAGGAAGTCAGATCAACAAATCAGCAGCAAGACTCACACAGGGGTGGGATTCTACTGGTTCGGATGAACTGGTAGCCCCGATGATCAGCTGGGAGTGAGCTGGTTTGTTCCGATGATCAGCTGTTGGGCTCACCTGCCCACCCTGCCTCTAGTCTGTGCTTTATTTCCAGGTTTTCCAGCTCAGCTGCTTTGTGCAGCACAGCCGGTAGCTCCAGCGATCAGCTGGGAGTGAACCAGTTCACTTCGATGATCAGCTGTTGGGCCCACGGGCTCTAGTCTGTGCTTTATTTCTGGGTTTTCCAGTTCAGCTGCTTCGCACGGCACAGCAGATTGCCGCACATCAGCTGTTTTACACACAGTTCTTGCAGCAGAAGGTGTTGCAAATGCTTCACATGCATGCAAAGCACACACTCACTGAACCAGTTGTTACCCTGGTTGAATCCCACCCCTGGACGCACACATCCGTACAACACACAGTTGGAATTTGGGTTTGGATGCATCAGCCTGTCTGACCATCTGCAACCTACACTTAACCTGTCAGGGTTCCAAGTAATCCATAGCAAGCAAAACTCTAAGGCAGGTTGATACCTCAAAGAATACTTTTATTGGGATTATCATATTGGCACATACCTGCTGAAAACCGACTATAAAGTCTCCCATGTTTTTCACCTCATTAAAAATAATTTTTTTTCTACTTTCTCAAAACAATCAGTCACACGGTCCAATCCCAGTGCAGGCTGGCAGATGGGTAGCATTGCTCTGCCTTCCTCCAAACAGGTGTGAGAATGTCCTTGGTTCCCAAGAGAAAATACATTGTTTTGACTACAGATTCCCTTCTATCTCAATTCCTCCCTCCCTATCCCTCAGCTCCAGTGTGGCAACACTGAAGTGGTCAGAAATGGCTTAAGTCAGGTCAGCTTCAGGATTGAGATCACCATCAACCCCTTTGAGATGTAGGTAATCAGCTAATGATTAAAATCTCATTTATGATGGTTACCGACATTTTTTTAGCACAGACAAATACAAGTAGTTCTCAACTTATGACCACAAATGAGCTTAAATTTTCTGTTACTGAGACATTTGTTGAGTGTATTTTGCCCCATTCTACGACCGTCCTTGATATATTCATTAAGTGAATCACTGCAGTTGTTAAGTTAGTAACATGGTTATTAAGTGAACCTGGCTTCCCAGATTCTTGTCAGAAGGTCGCAAAAGGTGATCACATGACCCCAGGACACTGCAAAGGTCATAAAGATGAGTCAGTTGCCCAGTGTCTGAATTTTGATCACGTGACCATGGGATGGCTGCAACAGTCATAAGTCATAAGTGTGAAAACTGCCCATGGGTCACTTTTTTCAGTGCTGTTGTAACTTTGAACAGTCACTAAATAAACTGTTGTAAGTCAAAGACTACCTGTAGTTCAGTCTTGTCTAGAATCTGATTAAATCAGCCTTTAGCTGTTAAAAAATTTACAAAGGAGGTAGTGTTAGTATTCATGGTTTTGGCATTTTGTCTGGACTATCTTGAAGGGCTGACATTACTGAATATCCCCCCCCCCCCAAAAATAAACCAAGCTTCCAGATTCTGGATAAAGTTGATCTATTCTCTTGTTCTAAAAAAGCTTGGTAACCATCATAACTGCAATAGCACTTAGCACTTAGACTTATATACCGCTTTACAATGCTTTACAGCTCTTTCTAAGCGGTTTACAGAGTCCGCATATTGCCCCCAATCTGGGTCCTCATTTTATTGACCTCAAAAGGATGGAGGGCTGAGTCAACTATGATCTGGTTAGGATCGAACTCTTGGCAGTGGGCAGAGTTATCCTGCAATACTTCATTCTAACCACTGTGCCACCACAACTCTGAAATTTTAAGCATTAACTGTTAATTCATACACAGTTCTGGTCCCTGTGCCTTAAATGTATATTGGAAAGACAGGAAAGGTGCATATAGTGGAGGAACAGACTGGCTTTCCCACAAGGGGCGGCATGATGGCTCAGAAGTTAAGATGCTCAGTTTGTCGGCTGTAAAGTCAGCAGCCCAGGTTCAAGACCCAAGAGTCACGAGATGGGATGAGCTCCCATCCTTGCCCCATCTCCTGCCAACCTAGCAATTTGAAAGCATGAAAATGCAAGTAGATAAATAGGTACCACTGTGGTGGGAAGGTAACAGAACTCCATGATGTCATGCTGATCACATGACCAAAGAAATGTCTTTGGACAGTGCTGGCTCAATGGCATTGAAATGGAGATGAGCTATACCCCGTATATAAGTGTAAAATCCACAGGGACTCTTTATCCCCAAGGAAAGATTTGTGGCATCTGGGCTTTTTCTACATAGGGCAAGATCTAAAAGAATTGTGTAAAAGTCTGCTCAGTCTGGAAATTACAGCTACTGTAGAGAGTTTTCCACCCACTCACCCTGACACTATCAAAATTTAGGCTCATCCATTAAAAATTATTCAGGCTCATCCATTCAACATCAATGTGAGAAGAATCACATTACTACACACCTAGAGAAAACAATATAGAGATAGCTCAGGGTTGATCTGTGGAGCCCTGTTGCTGTCTGAGCTTGGCTGTTTTCTTGGAAACTTTTTGTTTCCCAGCTAGGTAACATATTCAACCCATTGTTATTCAAAGTACATAACGAGAAGGAGAGGAGAAATAGAAAGGGCATTAATAAAAGGAAATTTTTTTGGGGGGAGGGAAGGGAACCTTGTGGGAGGAGGGAAATGAAATTTCAACAGTGTTAAACCAGAGCTGAGCATTTTATGACCTTGGAGTCACAACTGGCCCTTTGGCTGTTCCTATCCAGCTTAAATGAATTTATTTTATTTTGAAGGAGACTGCTACTTTTTGTTCAATTTATGTATGTGCAGGCTTCAATGCCTACGCACCTTCACAGCCTTATTGGTTGGGCCCTCCACAACAGTCCCAGTTTCCACTGTGACCCTTTGGGAAAAATTAATTGCCCACCCCTCAGTGGTGGGATTAAATTTTTTTTACTACCGGTTCTGTGGGCGTGGCTTGGTGGGCATGGCAGGGGAAGGATACTGTAAAATCTCCATTCCCATTCTACTCCTGGGGGAAGGATACTGCAAATTCCCCATTCCTTCCCCACCCCACTAACCTGCTTTCCAGTTCCGTTCTCCTGTGCAGGGCAACAAAAGAAGACCCAGCTGGGACTCAGAAGGCAGAGAATAGATGGGGGCGGGGCCAGTCAGAGGTGACATTTGCCAGTTCTCCCAACTACTCAAAATTTCCCCTGCTGGTTCTCAAGAACTGGTCCGAACCTGCCGAATACCACCTCTGCCACCCCTCTGTTAAACGGTGACATTCATGGTCACCAAATGTGGTGATGGCCACCGAAACAAATGCTACCAGTCTCAGAGACATCATGTCTGTTATATATGTGGATTATGATAGACGTTCTTTCAACTTTCTTGGGTAGATCCAGGGGTGGGATTCTACCAGTTTGCACCTATTCTCTAGAACCAGTTATTAACATTCTAAGCAATTCGGAGAACCGGTTGTTAGAAGAAATTACTGGCCTAATCCTGTAAGGAAGGCAGGAAGGAAACATTCTGGTGTTGCTTACAGAAACTGCCACTCGGTTAACCCTTATTACATTCTTGGCAGGACTAAACTTCCTGTCTCAGGAACATCTCTGGATTTCCACCCCCCCTCCTTTGCTGGTACTTTGCTTGTGTGGAGTGACCATTCAAAGTTAAATGGCACTGAAAAAAGTGACTTATGACCATTTTTCACGCTTATGACTGTTGCAGCATGCCCATAGTCATGAGAGGCCAGGCGAGGAGATGCGTGCCTCAATGTGAGTGATGTTGAGTTGACCACACCTACCCAATAACATGACAGCCAAGCCACGCCCACCACCTAAGCCACACCCACAGAACTGGTTGTTAAAAAATTGAATCCCACCCCTGGGTCAGTCAGTTCCTGTGTGACACAGAATGCTGGGTTAAATATTATTTATTAATAAATATTAAGTATTAAATATTCTCTGTGTTGCCCAATTTAGTTTTCCTGCTTTCTTTGGGATGGATCTGAGAGAAGTAGATCCTGGATCCACATGTCAGGGGTTTCATAAAATTCAGTGCTATGCAGCTATTAAAAGAAAAATATATCTCTGGCCCCATTTCTCTCTGCGAGAACATCACTGAAAGAGGCTGATGCTCTGAAGAGCAGCCAAAATCTTTCAGAATTGAAAGGCAATGGATGAAAATAGGTTGATGTCAGGGAGCAGAGAGAAAAATGAGAGCGTATGTGAAAAGAAAGGAAAGAAAGAGGAAGGAAAGAAAAAGGGGGAAGAGCAAGAAGGGAGGTAGGAGAGTGCGAGGAAAGAAGGAACAATTAAAGTACCTGAAGGCAGGACAAGAAGCAATGGGTGGAAACTAATCAAGGAGAGATCCAACCTAGAACTAAGGAGAAATTTCCTGACAGTTAGAGCAATTAATCAGTGGAACAGCTTGCCTTCAGAAGTTGTGAATGCTCCAAAACTGGAAGTTTTTAAGAAAAGACTGGATAAATGTTTGTCTGTAATGGTATAGGGTTTCCTGCCTGAGCATGGGGTTGGACTAGAAGACCTCTAAGGTCCCTTTCAACTCTGTTATTCTATTATTATAGGAAGGAAGGAAGGAAGGAGAAATGCCTTAAACTACCTGTAATCCTGAGGATTAAACAGACATTTCATGCTGTGTTTTTGTCCTGAAGGTCCAATAGGGATTAATTTGATTTATCTGGGCTTCTGATGGCCTACTTGGGGATAGGAGGAATAACGTTCCAATATCCATTCAATAGTTGAATGTAGAAGAAAGTCCTTGGCTTGCAACCATTCTTTTAGTGACTGTTCAAACTTACAATGTCACTGAAAGAAAAGTAATGACTTGGTCCTCGCACTTATGACCATTGCAACATTCCGATGGCCACGTGATGAAAATTTAGGTGCTTGGCAACAGACACCTATTTTGGACGTTTGCAGCACCCCAGGGTCATGTGATTGCGATTTATCACTTTATCACTTCTTAAAATGGAGCTTGACTCACTTAACAATTGCCTTCCTTAGCAATGGAAATTTGGGTCCAAATTGAGGTCGTAAGTCAAAGATTACCTGTGTTTTTCCAAGTTGGGGCTAGTCTCACCTGCCCTTCAAACCTGATTGCTCAATGGTTTCTAAGATCTGCAGTCCCTGGCATTGCATGGTGGGCAGTGGTGCGATTCAATTTTTTTTACTACTGGTTCGGTGGGCGTGACTTGGGCGTGGCAGGAGAAGGATACTGCAAAATCCCCATTCCCTCCCCACCCCACTAACCCGCTTTCCAGTTCCATTCTCCTGTGCAGGGCAACAAAAGAAGACCCAGCCAATCAGCTGGGACTCGGGAGGCAGAGAATAGATGGGGGCGGGGCCAGTCAGAAGTGGTATTTTCTGCTTCTCTAAACTACTCAAAATTCCCGCTACCGATTCTCCAGCACTGGTCAGAACCTGCTGAATACCACCTCAGATGATGGGGCCCCAACCCCCAAACCACAGAATACTATGTGTATAATGTTTCTTGTAACCCCCAAAGGATTTGCATGGTGTCCATAAACTACGGATGAGTCACTTGTGATTACTTCGGAGTGTTAAAAATGAGCCTCAGATCAACAATGAAACTATGGAAGTCAGGAAGGGCAGGTTAAATCACTAAGTTTAAAATCTTTGGGGTTTTTTTTGATCCTGATACTCTTAACACACATTCTTTCTATCTCTAGGATCATTTAAATTTTTACTGCACGGCCAGCAGCCTGGGAAATTTGATCCTTTCCATTAAGTGTGAAGAGGCAGATGGAATTGAATATCTACGGATTATTCTCAGGTAAAGGAAAGGGGTAAAGGAAACAATCTATACAGAAAACAAAAATGGATTAATTATTATGGAAGTTCTGTTCATTCATTCCTGTGGCAGCGTTTCTACATCAGTATTGTTTTAAAGAAGGGCATGATGGCTCAATAGTTAAAGATGCTGAGCTTGTCAGCTGGAAAACTGGCAGTCTGGGTTTTATTTATTTATTTGTCAAGCGATTATAAGATAATATGTATAAGTATAAACATAGTTATGAATACATGAAATGGATACATATAAGAAAAATAAAAAGAAATAAAAAGAAACAATAGAACAGGGACGGTAGGCACGTTGGTGCACTTATGCACGCCCCCTACAGACCTCTTAGGAAAGGGGTGAGGTCAATAGTAGACAGTCTAAGGTTAAAGTTTTTGGGGTTTGGAAGAAACTACAGAGTCAGGAAGAGTATTCCAGACATTGACCACTCTGTTGCTGAAGTTGTATTTCCTGCAATCAAGTTTGGTGCGGTTTACCTTGAGTTTGTATCTATTGTCTGCTCTTGTATTGTTATGGTTGAAGCTGAAGTATTCATTGACAGGTAGGTTTGAGACCCAAGCTCCTCACAATGGGGTGAACTCCCTTTCCTTGCCTCAATTCCTGCCTACCTAGCAATAGCAATAGCACTTAGACTTATTTACCACTTCACAGTGCTTTACAGCTCTTTCTAAGCGATTTACCGAGTCAGCATATTGCCCCACAACAATCTGGGTCCTCATTTTACTGACCTGGAAGGCTGAGTCAACTTTGAGCCTGGTGAGATTTGAATTTGCCAAATTGCAGACAGCCAGCAGTCAGCAGAAGGAGACTGCAGTACTGCACTCTAACTGCTGCGCCATCGTGACTAGCAGTTTGAAAGCATGCAAATATGACATGACAATAGGTGACATTTCGATGGAGGGTAACAGCATTCCATGCACCTTTGGCGTAGAGTCATGCTGGCTACAAGACCAGGGAAAATGGCTTTGGACAACGTTGGCTTCCTTGGTCAAGAAATGGAGATGAGTACCCTGCCCTAGAATCGGACACAGGACAGGAATCCTTTACTTTTACTTTTTAAAGTTTGTGTAGTAGAGCTACATAATTCCCAGCCAAGATCAGCCATTCTGACCTGAATTCTGGAATTGTAGTCCTATATCAATCTGGAGGACGTATTTTCACTAGCATTAGATTCTTACACTGGACTGACCTATAATATCACTTATTTCTTTTTGACCAAGTCAAAAAGAGGTCGTCCCCCGACTAACGGGTAATCCTTGACTTGCAACAGTTCGTTTGTTGGAAGTCTGTTCGAAGTTGCAACGGTGCTGAAAAAAGTGACTTATGGCCATTGGTCACACTTACAACTGTTGCAGCATCCCCATGGTCACCTGATCAAAATTCAGATGCTTGGCAACTGGCTCATATTTGTGACAGTTGCTATGTCCTGGGGCCACGTGGTCATCTTTTGTGACTTTCTGACAATCTTCAGTCAATGGGAAAGCCAAGATTCACTTAACAACTGCAGTAATTCACTTAACAACTGTGGCAAGAAAGGTCATGAAATGAGCCAAAATTCACTTAACAACCATCTCACTTAGCAACAGAAATTTTGGGCTCAATTGTGGTCACTGTTGATAGCCCATTGCTGTGGTTCATAAATAAGGACTCAACAGGTATGTTAAAGCATACCAGTGCCCTATGTATACCCAACTGTAGAGTTAGACTTTCCACTACACTGGAAAAAGTGCAAAGAAGAGCAACTAAGATGATTGAAGGCCTGGAGACAGAAATATATGAGGAACGGTTGCAGGAATTGAGGTTGGCTAGTCTAGAGAAAAGAAGGACTGGAGGGTGTATTTGAGAGGCTGCCACAAAGAGGAGTGGGTCAATTTATTTTCCAAAACACCAGAGGGCAGGAGAAGAAACAATAGATGGAAACTAATCAAGCAAAGAAGCAACCTGGAATTAAGGAGAAACCTCCTAACCTGTAGAGCTTGCTTTCAGAAGTTGTAGGTGGAAGAGCTTGCTTTCAGAAGTTGTAGGTGCTCCGTCACTGGAGGTTTTTAAGAGAAGACTGGACAGAAATGGTATAGGATCTCCTGCTGGAGCAGGGGGTTGGACTAGAAGACCTCCAAAGTTCCTTCCAGCTCTATTCTGATTGATTGATTTACCCAGGGTTGACTTAAACATGCTTCTGTTAAGCTATTGTCCTGTATTTGCATGATGCGTTGAATGATAAGTACACAGGCTGAGTTTTCCTGGTGCTCCTGGCTGAGATGTGGTGGGATCGTTTGTAGTTTATTGTGTTGAGCAAACACAAGCAACAGACTTGTATACAGAAGATCCCAATCTGACCTCTGGCATTTATAGACTCAGCTGGGAAAAACTCCTATCTGATGCATTAGTAAGACAAGGACAGCCAAAGAAGACTTCATGTACAATAATCTTTGATTTATGACTGGTCACTCAGTGCTTTGGGTCAACTCAGCATCCAGCCTGCATTTACAATTGTTTGCAGGTCCCATGGTCACAGGAGCACAATTTATGATGTTTTGGTCAGAATCACCCCGTAGTGAACAATGGACTCAGTTAATGACGGTAGCATTCAACAGCTGCAAAAGAACTTGTAAAATCGGGTGTGGGGTCACATGGTGACCTGTTTTATCAGTGTCATGACTTACAACTAAAGTTGTAGGTTCAATTCTGGTTGTAAATTAAGCACTTCCCATAAAGAATTTCTGAGACTGCAAGATCTGGAATCTATCAAGTTGTCTTCTTTTAGAATCATGGTAGTACAAAGTTGAAGGGACGGTTAGGTCAAGGAATCCATTCCCTTCTCTCTGTGTAGGAATCCACTCTGCTTGAATACCTTAAATGAAAGGCAGATCACCATTGATCACCATAGGTCATTGGTCATTGTAGGTCATCCTGTAGACACCAAAATAAGTATGTTGATACCCCATTTCCCTGAAAATAAGACCTATCCCCAAAATAAGCCCTAGCATGTTTTTACACATGTGCCTAATATAAGCCCTACCCCCCAAAATAACTCTTACTTAAGAGCCTGTGCACCCGGCAAGCCACACACTTCTGTTTAGTTGTTTGTGGTGCCACAACCGCAAGGCAAGGCAGAGGGGTAGAGCTGTCCCATATGCCCCATACCGGCTTACCTCAGGACTTCTACAACCAGGCCATCCATGCCTTAATATCTGCCTTGAGGGAGCAGCACCAGCAGCCATGTGCAATAGGACCCCACATGGCTGCCGGCCCACTTCTTCTGCTTGCTCATGGCCTCAGCAGAGTAGGAGGCCAAGTGGTGTGCTGGTGCCGTGGATGCAAGGCGAGGCAGGTGTGAGGGTGTGGATGGCCCTGGCTGTGGGGTCCTGAGATAAGCCGCTGCAGAGCATGTAGGGTAGCTCCACCCCTGTCTTGCCTTGTGGCTGCGACACCGGTGCGTCACTCTGCCTCCTGCTCCATTGCGGCCGCGAGTAAGCAAAAGTGGGCCAGTGACCATATGGGATCCTGCCCTGCCATGAACAAGCATAAGAAGTAGGCCATCAGCCATGTGGGCTCCTAAGGCACACGGCTGTTGGTGCGGCCGCCACAAGGGAGGTGTCAGGGAAGAGATACGTGGAAAAGAAGGCAAGTGTCAGGCCTCATGTACATGGGGGTGTGTGGGTGGAGAAATGACACCCCCTGAAAATAAGCCCCAATGCTTATGTTGGGGCCCAAAAGAAAATAAGACCCAGCCTTATTTTGGGGGAAAACATGGTATAGTAGGATGAAAAGCACTTCCATCTTCTGGAGGAATAATGGAATATATGAAATGGAATTTGAATGATTGTTAAAGTGGTGATTTAATATGAATAGGATTACTATTAGTAGAGTTACAAGGACTTGTCAAATGTATTAAATATGATTATTGATATTTTATTGGTGGTAAAAGGAAGGATATATTTGATGAATGAAATGTTATATTAAAAAAAATGTTAGGGAATATTCTTGGGAACTGTCGCGGCATCACTAAAAGTTAGAATTGGGGTGGAATTGGAGAGGGGGAAAACAATGGTACACAATTCCTTAATAATAAGATGATGTAAGAAAAAGAAAGGGAACCAGAATTTAAATGGAGGTGATATTAAGTATATTTGAATAATATGAGGATTAGCATAAAAGAACTAATACAATGAAATCTTGAATATATAAATGAATAAGAGACTATAATGGAATATAAGGATGTGTATTAATGCTAGAAAGAAATAAGATTATGGGAAAAAAAACTAACATGATTATTAATACGTTATTGGGTATAAAATGTAAAACACCCAGGTGTAATATTGTTCACATATTGATATGTATGTAAAATAAAAAAAAACTTTGGAACAAAAAAGAAGTTACATCTTCTCATATCTAGATGGCATTTCTCAACCTTAGCACCTTGAAGATATGTGGACTTGGATATGTGGACCATGCTGGCTAGGGGATTCTAGAAGTTGAAGTCCACACAACTTGCCAAAGTTGAATAACACAGAACCAGAGTGAACTTCTCCCCCTCAGTTGGTTGGTCCATGGCTTCTTTTCATCGATGCAGACCCTTGGCGCCAGCTCTCACTGGTCTTGTCCAATGGGTTGATTTGGATGGACCAGGAGATGATTTTGTCCAAATACTGTATATTAAAAGGTGACAGGGAATCCTTGAGGACCCTTTTGGTGTGCTCAATTTCCTATGGAGTCCAAACATTTTTGCTACTTAAGAGAGATGAAGTGATGATAACAGGATGTTCTGTAGCTGTTCAGTGATGGATCTGAGTTTCTTGGGGTTTTAAAAATTATTTTATAGCGCTTTTAAGTCTGCTCTTCGGTAATGAGTTTGGCAACGAACATTGTTTGCTTGACCTACAGTAAAGCCCAAGGAAAGCAGTAAGAAAACAATCCCTTGAAAAGATATTGGAAAATGTCAATTATATATAACATTGGTTTTTTTCTCTCTCTGTAATGTCTTATCCTCTTATTCCCCCAACAAATTACTGAAGTTTTAAAGGAAATGGGAAACTGGAGATGGTAACCGTAACAACTATGTCCAAACAAACCCTCTTAGAAAAGTTCAAAAACAATCTACAGATCCTTCCTTTTAATTAAATCTAGAGATATTGTTACATTATCACTGCTTATGTCTGATTCTCTCTGATTCTGTTTTGGCCTTCCTTAGGTCCAAAGCAAAAACTTTACACGAAAGAATCCCTTTAGCTGGACTCAGCAAGCTGCCAAACATCCCACAGATTGCAAAGGTAGGTTGCTTGGAGTGATAACCATAAAGGTCATGGTTGCGATCATTAGTAGATTCCGATTTTAGAGGCTGGGCTTTATTGTTACGGAAGGTAATCACCGAAACATCAGTGATTGCAAGGAAAAAAGATCACGATGGAAGCAAGAATTAAACACAGACAAAAGTGTATAATCTGCAGCGCTTTGACTCCAAAGGTATCTTTGAGGCAGACAGTTGAGGAGCATAGTGAGTGGCCTAGGTGAGGAGAGGTGAGGCTCTTGCCTCACTCTCAGGAGGTTGTGAGTTTGATCCTAAGTAGAGGCAGATATTTCTCTCTCTGGGCACACACAGAATATATTTTCTGGATTAAAAAAAAACCTCTGCATTGGTGACAGGAAAAGGCATCCGGTCAGTAAGTACTCAGCTCCATTCCACTCCTCAAAGGATTATGGGGCCATTAAAAGAGGACGATGAGTTGAGGACGATAGTGGTGTGGTAAAAATGTGAAACTAGAAATTAAATCCAGTTCAAGACAGTTTATGTTTATTAGGGTAAATTATAAGTGGCTCAGTGACTTAATGACATTGGAGATGATTTCTGCTCCAGTGGTTCGAGTCCTAACATTGCCTGTCGGGGTGAGCTCCTGTCACTTGTCTCAGCTTCTGTCCACCAACAGTTTGAAAGCATGTTCTATGTGAGTAGATAAAGTAGATTCCACTTCAGGGGGGGCAGGCGGAATGAGCTGGTGCTCAGTGCAGGTAGTCAGATTCCTGCTCTCTGAACCTTCCCAGTTGCGATGCTTGTTGGCGGGGCAGTTCCGGGAGGGAGGGGGCCTTGGATGACACTACAGGAAGAGCCGTGAAGCCAGATCGCCCCCTTGTGGTGTACCATGGGAAGTGCGTGAGTGTTTCCTGCAACAGAGCTGGTACCTTAGCAGCCAAGCTACTGTTTTGCAGTTGCATTGGGGTCTCCTGGCTAATGTAGCAATGCCTTACAGTAATAATAGTAATAATAATAACTCTGGAGACTCTGGCATAAACCAGTGCAGGTGGTTCCAGTGGTACTCGGCACACTGGGTGCTGTACCTAAAGACCTAGGCAAGCACTCAAAAACAATTGGCGCTGACAAAATCACCATTGGTCAGCTGCAGAAGGCCACCTTACTGGGATCTGCTTGCGTAATCCACCGATACATCACGCAGTCCTAAACCCTTCGGAAGTGTTCAACTAATGATAATAGCATGGTTAAGTTTGCTGTGTATACTGTCATTTTTGTGTATAATGATGATGATGATGATGATGATGATGATAATAATAATAATGCAAGTTATTATCATCCAAAAATATTTAGGTTGGGGAAAATTTAGAAGAAGAGTTGCTGTCTCCCAAATCCCCACCTACGCCTTCATTGGCTTAAATCAATGTCATGATGTATTTCGCATTTGTGATACCACAAATAAAGTTATTTTGCTCGTTTTGTCTTATCTTTGACTTCCCCCAAAGGGCTGTTTGTAATCTGCTATGTCTTCGGGCTCCTAATTTCTCACTCACCGTTTGCTGCATTTCTAAACAGGCCTTTTGCGATGACGCCACAGGATTAAAGTTTTACCCTGTGCTCTATCCCAAGGTGAGCTAAGCAGTGATGCCAAAACTTAATTCCGGAAGGAAATTGATGTGCAGAATTAAACTATGCTAGAAGACCTCCAAGGTCCCTTTTCAGCCCTCTGATTCTATGAAATGCATGCATGCAGGTTTATCTAGTGATGGGATTCAAAATTTTTTACTACTGGTTCAGTGGGCATGGCTTGGTGGGCGGGCGTGGCTTGATGGGCATGGCTTGGTGGGCATGGCAGGGGAAGGATACTGCAAAATCCTCATTCCCTCCCCACTCCTGGGGGAAAGTTACTGCAAAATCCCATTCCCTCCCCATCCCACTAACCTGCTTTCCAGCTCTTTTGTCCTGTGCAGGGCAACAAAAGAAGATCCAGCCAATCAGCTGGGACTCAGGAGGCAGAGAATAGATGGGGGCGGGGCCAGTCAGAGGTGGTATTTGCCGGTTCTCCAAACTACTCAAAATTTCCACTACTAGTTTTCCAGAAGTGGTCACAACCTGCTGAATAGCACCTCTGGGTTTATCTCTGTAGAACCGAAATATACCAATTTGAGAGATAGCTTCCCCTAATTATAAATATCCAGCCAGGCATGAAAATGGCCAGGAGAGAGATTATCATCAATTTGCACCATATGCCTCGGAATTGTCACCTGGGATTCATGATACATCCCCATGGCATTTGAGAAGAGAATGCAATTAGATTAGAGTTGGATTGGTTTACCTGCTTATTCGGACTTCTTCTTGACCGCAACCCCAGAAAAAAATTGAATCTGAACCTAAACGAACTCTGTAGGAAGAGGATGGTTATCATAAAAGCAGGATAAAGAATCTGATAACTGGAATTAGTGAAAACGTGGACGGCCTCACGGGTGGGATTCTACCGGTTTGGAGCCGTTTGGGAAAACCAGATGTTAAAGTTACACCCGGTTCACTGAACCGGTATTACAACCGACTGGCTGGCCCCGCTTACCCTGCGTCACCCCTCCCAGGAGTCTCTATGCAGCCCATTTTTGATGGAGGTAAGTGCAGGGTCCGCATGGAGGTTCTGGGAGGGGAAAAAATGGGCCTTCCGGAAGTCCGTAAACGGATCTATTTCCAGCTTCCAGAGGGCCTCCAGAATCCAGGGAAGGCTGTTTTCGTCCTCCCCCGGGCTCTGGAGGCCGACCAGAAGCTGGAAACAGCAAGTTCCGGTAGGCCACGCCCACCATGGCCACACCCACCCAGTAACTGGGCAGTGAACCCAGTTTTTTTGAATCCCACCCCTGGATGGCCTTGTTCTACTTTTTGCAGGTACGTGACAGAAACTAAGTTTCGACATAAACACTAGAATTGATTCTGTGTTTTGGGGAGATCAGACATCTAAACATGTTGAGCAAAGCCATTTTTGACTGCTCAAACTCTACTGGGAGTTTCCAGGACAGGTATTGCAAAAGGGGCTTGAATAGCTACAGAGAAGGATGTTACAATGATGGATGGAGAGGCATAATTGAGAAGGGGGCAGTAATTTCTTTCTTTACACATTATTCTGTGACGCCTTCCTCTTTCCTTCTAATTCAGGCATCACAGCTGATCGTATCCTATGATGAACATGAACTTAACAACACGTTCAAGTTTGGGGTGATTTACCAGAAGTTTAAGCAAGTGAGTGACTATTTTATGGGATCGATAATATTTCTGTGGTTCTGATGGTGATTTTGACAGTCTAGAGAAGCTTTTAAATATGTAGAGTTCAATAATTCTGTGGTTAAAAAAATGATTATATACTATAAATGTTTACACACACACATACACACACATGTACATGTGTGAATAATTGTATTAGATAGCTATGTAGAATTGTAACTACTGCTAAAATGATATACCTTTTTTCTTTGTTAGTTTTCCCCCTACTTTTTTAAAAGCCGCTTTTTATATGCCTTATATGTATTTGACAATGTGTACATTTTTATCTTTGTGGTGGTTGTTTGGTTTTTTTGTCATTATTTTAAAAAGCAATAAAAGAGTAAACAAGAGCCAATAAAAAAGAGCTTGGAGAATTTCCTGATCCAGTTTCACCTTTGCTGTTGCAAAAAAGAATAATCACCCTTCTGATTATTATCTTTTCTCTCCCTCTCCCTCTCGCTCCCTCTTTCCTTCTCTCCCTCCCTCCCTCCCTCCCTGAGTGTGACTTTCCCTCCCTCCTACCATGCCCCCCTTCTCGTAAACAGTTAGTGACAAAAGTTATTTAGAGAGGAAGTTGATTACCTCTCACCATAACAGGGATAATCTTTTGCAAAATTTAGTTTTGTGGTTTCAAAATAAAGATGAGTTCTGTCATTTTTGTTTGGAATTTTCAGACACAGGAAGAAGAATTGTTTGGGAACAATGAAGAAAGTCCTGCCTTCAAAAACTTCTTGAACTTGTTGGGAGAAACCATTACACTACAGGATTTCAAGGGGTAAATTAAGCTATTAATCATTCACATGGCTCCTTCCTTCCTTCCTTCCTTCCTTCCTTCCTTCCTTCCTTCCTTCCTTCCTTCCTTCCTTCCTTC